TTGGGAACCACTGGTTTAAGAGACAAAAAGGCAATATACAATCTCATTCTGTCTTTTATTTTTAAATTCTCTGGCATAGGCACACCTCTAGTCGAATTTTCTGGACAATGTAATTGATATTTCACTCCATTTCTCTTTTTTTTCTGGTTGGCGATAATCATTGTTGAAGGAAAATAATTATTTAATATTCTTTAAAATTGAAAAATGATTGCAAAACTCAACTCCTAATTTACCTATTCCTTATGATCTTTAGCAAACTTCAAGTTTTACCCATTACCTTACCTTACTCTTATATAAAAATTACACTTGATCGTTATCATTAATTCACTCGAAAAACCCCTATTCTTGCTTAAAAAGAATTTAGATACGAGAATTTAATCTTCTCTGTATTATTTTTTGTTTTTTCCTGCATATCCGAGTATCTTGTTTCCTTGTTACTTGATTGAATGAGGTACAGTCCTTCCACAATCCCACTGCTGAGTTCATTTCCAAGATTTTTACATGGATAACCATTTGCTGGCAGGCTTCAAACCTATTCAATGATAGCTAATATTGTGCTTATAACGAGGCTACCTATGATTTGGTTGGTTGCTTTATGCAGGGCAGTGAGACGATAAATTTGCACATTCCAACAGTTTCCACTCCAAGGCAATCCCCTTTTGGTTTCCGATGAGACTTATTCACGAATTCCTTGCAATCAATTTTTTTATTAGAAATGGAACTCATGCCTCTAAACCACTAATTGATTCTTTGAACTGCAGCTTTTCTTAATAGATTTGTATTGCTTGATTCTACCTATATCTTTTACTTATTGTTATATGGCCTAATTATTTATCACTAACCACTATTTAAATAAGTCTATATTGACTTGTCTTATTGTTCATATTCACGTTGATCTCCTGTAACCTGGAAGCTTTCTAGCAGCACTGGCATGAATATAGTTCCTGGAGTCATAAGCTCCTCAGCTCCAGGAGGGTCAAGTTTGCCTCTCTCGGTGAGCACCAGCAGCATTTCAACTGGCAGTAGTAGTTGCAGCAGCAGCAGCAACTACCAGGCTGCTGTGGCTGCTGCCGCAGCCGCACTTCAGTCAGTAGCAGGCGCTAATCAGTCGTCTCTTGCTGTCGCCGCTTCCTCTTCCTGCAGCCACCTGGGCAGTGTTAGTGGGCTACATAGCCCTATGGCTTCTGGTTGCCTTGTTTCTTCTTCGGGCCTTGCTGGGCGAGCTGCAGCTGCTGGGCTGGTTGGCCAGATCGGCTCTCAGACTGCCTCGACGGCCGTAGTCGCTGCTGCCTCGAGTGCACACCATCAACCGGGAATCATGACACAGCTTTCATCTGGCCCACCTCACCATCCTATTCATGTCCCAGTTCAGCTACCAACAGGCCTTATGTCGGTTGGCCAGCCGTCACATCTCCAGGCCAACCCAGGGGCCATTGTCTCAGTTGGACAACTACCAATATCACTTAATCATTCACAAACACAGTATACTCACTCGCATCAGGCTACCCAGCATGCCCATTCAGGAAGCCATCACCACGTACACTCACACAACACTCATGTGCTAAATCACTCATCGACTCTTCCGCAAGGCAGCGGCGTGCTCAGACAACAAACAAAGGAACCTGCATATCATCCTCAGGTTTGAGTTTATTTCACCATTCACTGGCAAAGGATCAGTGACCTGATTAGTAATACATCAATTATCTCTAATGGTGTTCCTATATATATAATGCGATTTCCCAAATCATATATGAAAAATGATGTTGCTCTACTAATGACCTATGCAATGTAATATTTCGTAATTTTAAATTACTTTTTAAAAACTTTCCTAACATTAAAAAAATATTAAGCCCTAAGGAAGGAATCGTTTTGTATAATTTTAAATAGTTAATTTGATGGCTAGGCATTATTTCATCATAGAGCTCCGAATTAAAATTGATTTTGGTCTTATTATTCAAAAACCACAATTGTATGCTTTGGTCTGTTGGCATTTTCAATCCGTGGTGTCTTTTTCTTATCACCAACTAATGGCTCTCGTCAGAAAAATGTTATTCTAATAATGTCTTTTAACACCTAAACTATATGCATTTTGAGGATATTTGAAGAATTTCCCAAATGCGTTGGCTTTAGTATTAATAAAAAAACTCTCAATCATAAAGTCTTTACGCCATCAGTCTGAAATAGTTGGACCAGTCGAGATTAGGTTATTTTTTGCTTCGCCATTTTTCGAATTTGAGCCGCCAAACGGCTCATTAAAAACACTACTTTGGCTCCTTGCTATTTTTTTTCGTATATGTTTTATTGCCTTTGATTTTTTATTGATGATTATTATTCATCAATTTCACTTTTTTGATTCATAATTTTTTATTGTAAAGAGCACTATTTGAACGAAAATTTGAATATTTGTTTTGAACTCAGGTTGAAGCGATATCTCCTGCTCCAGAAGAATCTCGTCAAACAGATGCTCAGGATCTGCGGCTGATGCGAGAGCGTGAAGAAATTCGCGGCCAACTGAATTCGATTGATGATGCACTTAATAAACAACAAGTCCTATTGCGTAATTTGATCGAGCGGCAAAACCTCCTTGAACAGCGTTTGCAAAATGCTCCAACTACCCCATGCGGTATTGGATCAGGAAGTGGCCGTCAGAGTCTCACTAGTCCTCCGGCAAGCCAGTTGACCGCTGCAAGTGGTCGGCGCGATTCACTGGATTCGCTAACAGAACACCGAAGGAGCTACGAGAATCCCATACATGTAGGGGCTCTTCATTTGTTGGTCGCTATTTTATATTTTGAGCCATTTCCTGATCGTGGTACTTTTTTTGTCCACATAATGGCTGTTTAGAGTCAGTTGATTTTTATAGAAACATCGGCCTATAGTCAATGTAAAATATTTTAGTTTATTAAAATTACCATTTTGAGTTAATTAGTACTCCACTTTTTGATCACAATTTTTGCGGAATGAAATATGAGACCTAAATCTCTTTTCTTAGTCGATATTTTTATTTAGGAAACTAGTACCGAAACTCTGTCCAGTTTATTTTTTATAGCTTAACTATTTATAGAACTGATATCGGCTGAAGGAAGACTTGTCGGCTTATTTTCAAGCTCAATAAATAGTAGGCAAGAGATCGAGTCACTTTAACTGTCGATTTGAGGATATATAGTTGAATTTATCACGATGAGTATAAGAGTTCATGTTTTAATTGAATTTCACTTAGCCATTCTTATCTAATTTCTCACTTATTTTACTGTTCCCTAGGCGATTATCGCAGAAAGCAGACAACGAGCTCGTCAGCGTCAGCTGATATTTGCTCGCTTCTGCGGTGCCGTCAGGTCTGAGGCTAGTGAATCGGGGCTAATGGATGCTGGCTTATCTGGCGGCCTACAAAGAGGTTCGCGTTCCACTGCTTCGGCTGCTCGGAGTATAGGAAGCACTGGCTCAGCTTCTCTGTCCAACGGACCATTGCATGCCACTGGCTCTGGATTCAGCTGGTCACGCATCAGTTTGTCGATGGATGAACCACCAGTTTATGGGCCTGCCTCTTCTCAACCGCCTGCAATTGATCACCGTTTTCATGGTTATTATGTCAACCCTGGACCATATGCACTTCCACTATATAGACAGCCGAGTGATCTGCCAAGCCTATCGCTGGCTCGTCTCGAGGAGGTACGAGAACGATTTCGTCCCCGTCTGGTCGCTTATCTTAGACGTAGACGTCAAGCCGAGGAGGCTAGACTAACTTATTTGGCCGAGCAGTATTCACAGAATGCCAAGGTAGTTTTTTGTTTCCCTTAAATGTATAAGACAATATTGTGCCTTTATTTTTACCAATACCCTTTGGACAAAGTGCGTCCAACTATATTGCCGACAGCTCGATCGAGTTACGAAAATCAGGTCAAACCACTGAGACCAAAACAGAGGCCACAACACCTTGGGTTATTTTTCTTATCTATCTATATCTCGTATCAGTTGCCCAGATTTTTTACCCTTTTCATAGGCCTAATGGTTTGCTAAAACTTGATCTATTCCATATAATGTAAGCAAGCTTAAAGGATACTGATGTTCGTAGATAACTTACATACGTTTAGTTTATCCTTCGAACTACTGGAATTTTTAAAAATAACTTAAAATGTGGCAATTTTTGGCACCACGGGGAGATTTATTCCGCGTTTTAAACCTAAGCGGAGCTAGAGTATTTTGGCAAGCTATCACAATTTGGAGCATATTTTGTAAGGACTTATATAATCATTTTGGTGCTTTTTTATGTTTACAAATCGATGAATTGAAATTTCATTTCGTAAAATTGTTTTCTGACACAAAATATGTTTTTATGAAACGGCATTAAATCTTCACTTTTATTCTAAAAACTATTTTTATGCTTTACTTTATCTTTCTTTTAAATAAAGACATAAATTGATTTTGATGTTAAAACAAGGATTTTCGTCTTTCGCGCTATTATAAAAACAAAATCGCTCTGATATAAATCCTTCTACATAAATTATAACATAACATTTATATTATTAATCACTAATAATGAATGAAAATTGCAAGCTAAGTAAATTGCTACATATATATTGATAAAATATGGTGCAGAAATAGATTATCATAGGTTGCATCAGGTCAGGAAAGGCTGATAGTGAACTTTACTACTCATTGGGATATTTTTATTTCATTTAGCCTTGTCTCCTAAAGGTATTCTCACCCAGTGTGGATTGCATTCGTCCTCGCTTATATGACTCATACTTCTAATTATCATTGGTTTCGTTTCTTCTACAACACCCTCAGCGATAGTCAATACCAGGTAGTGCAAAGCACATTTCTTTATACTACCACTAGACAACACCTCTGAAGGTTCCAGTGGGTAGCAGAGAAGACGTGATTTTTAAAATATTGGCGTTTTTTTAAACTGGTTGATTAGAAATCTAATTAATATGAATACAAGGGGAATAGTCTACTGTAATGGTAAATTCCAATTTGCTTCTACTTTCCCACTTTAATTCTCATTACGGGCAGGCCTGGCTTGTTTTGACAGTCACTTATGATTTATGACCCACTTACACTCGTGGAAATGGGGCATAGTGGTAGCATGCCAAAAATATTTGCTGAAATTACACGTTCCGATGTTTATAGGGAGCCAACGTATGTTGGCTCCCTATAAACATCTCTTCCTAACTTACCCTCTTCTCTAATGATGAGAACGTCCAAAAAGAATA